GACTAGTGTTGCTGAAAATTTCATTTGTCTTCCATCTTGTTGGCATGGGTAAATATTTAAGTGCACAGTAGCCATCCCCCCACACCTTATTCACAAAGGATACATTCCAAGACCCCCAATGGAAAATGTGGATAGTACCAAAGCCTATATATACTAAGTTTTTTTCCTATACATACCTACCTATGGAAAAGTTTAATTTATAAGGTAGACACAGGAAAAGATTAAAGATAAAATAGAACAATTATAATAATATATTGTAATAGTAGTTTTGTGAATGTGGTCCCTGTCTCACAAAATATCTTATTGCAGTGCACTCACTTACCCTTCCTCTTGTGATGACATGAGATGATAAAATGCCTACATGATGAGATGAAGCCAGGTGAATGACAGAGATATTGTGACCCAGGCTACTGTTGATTTTCTGGTGGTGTCAGAAAGAAGAACATCTGATTTGGGACCACAGTTGACCATGGGCAACCGAAATCTCAGAAAGCAAAACTGTGAAAAGTGAAACCTTGGAACACATGGGAACTACTGTATTTGCTCAATTTAACTAGGAACTTTGATGTTGGGATCAAAATACTTTATTGGCCATGAACTATTCATCTTTTACTTCTCTTACAGCTCTCTGCATTAAACAGTGGTAATGGCCTGTCAAGTGACTGAAACAGCATAGTTTTTTGTTGTTGTTGTTCATGTAAATGGAGATAGTTATTTATTACTGCAGCCTGTTCTTATTGCCGTATAAATTGCTAGGAAAGTGTGTAAAGCTCACTTTTGTTTCTTGGCTCAGTCAAATTTGTATCCTTGTAAAAAGGCCAAGATGCTATGTTGTAAAAGCAATAAAATATGTATGTATGCATTGGATATTATAAGAAAAACTAGCCCTTTTATTTGACTCTAAGTGTTAAGATATTTGCCAGATTTGGCATGCATTTGACTTCTTTGGTTTGTTTTGGGGGACGGTAAGATGGGAAGTTGGGGGGGGGGTGGTGAGAGGAGGTTAGAATGTACCTGATATTTTTCCCAAGGCTATATCAGCAGCCCATGATGGCCTGTGATGCCTGTGATAGAATCATATGATGCAATCACTAGAGCACTGGGCTTGAGTGCTGATATTAGAGAATAGCTATTAGAGACCAACTCTTTATTTTAAGCAAAGAAAACTGAAATCCAGAGAACTGAAGTGATATGTTGTTGGTCACATAGCTAGTTAGCAGTTGAACTGCAAGTAGTACTTGGATTTCTTGGTTCCTAGCCCAGACCTGTCTTCTATATATCTTCCATGCAGTGGAAGACTTCCACTAGATAAAACTCAGTAGAATTTTGGTGAGAAATAATGGTTAAGCTATTATTACTAGCCTCCTGAACCTGATGGATGATAATTGAAAGCATAATTAAATACTTAAGAATGATTTTTTTTTTCTGTGTAAGAAATCACCTTTAAAACAGTCTTTGGAAACGTAAAATAGATATTTCAATCATGACTCTCCTGATTGAAGACAAGTGTTGAATATCCATACTCTGTGTGTGTTAAATTGTTGCAGAAATAATAGAAAACACCTTCTACCTTTTATGTTCTGGTTCATGGAACCATGCTTTTAGGTGTCGCGGATTCAGTTGTTGAGTTATAATTTGGTTGCCCCATTCTTTGTCTTCCACAAATCTCAGATGAAGAGACATGCTTTAGAGTAGTTACGGCTCCCTATCCAAAATGGTTTTGGGAAAAAAAATATTTTTAGAATCATTCTAGAGTCACTAGATTGAGCAAGCTCCTTGCTTTGATTCTATTCTGGGACTTTGTGGAAGCCTATAGGAGATGAAATGAAGTAGGAAACACTGAAGGCATTAAAATTATTTAAAAAGTAGCCAGATAATTGTTTTAAAGGGAATAGACAGAGCTATAATTCAGAAGCTTACTCCCATAGTACATTGCTTATTCATTCACTTTCACACTTTGAAAGGTTCAGCCGCATTGTAATTAGTTATAAACCTGTGTTGTTTGTGTTACTAAGAATGTAAGGTTCATAATATCATCTGTTTATTCTAAGTCTTTGTATCTCTAGTGAGCCCTCAATCACTGTGTCATGGGATCCTGTAATCTCTTACAACAGTCTTAGATGCATATTTTAGTAGAATTTCAGAAGAGGATCAAATTAAATATAATACATTAATGACATAGCAATGTCATTAACTGCTGCTGCAGTGGTTACTCTCACCACTACTGCTGGTAATACCACTACTGTTATGGTTACTACTTCTTCAATTCCTACCACTGCTCTACTAGTAGATCAAAAAGGAGGGGTGGAAGGAAAAAAACACTCATCTCCTGTAAGGCGTTGTGCTAAGCACTTTACACAAATCATGCCACAATGTAATCCTTACAATAAAATTCTCAGTGTCTATTTTATAAACTAAGTGTCCTGAGGTCAAGTTCTTTGCCCAGAGTCATGCAGCTAGTAGTTAGCTCAAAACTCTTGCTCTCAAGCTTTTAACCCCTATGGCATGTATTGTTTTATTCACCAGGCCTGGGAGAGGGTGTGAAAAGTCTACCCTCTGTTTCAAATCATGGCATTATTTGGTTTAATGCATTGAAAAAATTTAAAAAGTTACACATCGGCTTTGCATTCCTAGAAACTAAGCTAGCTTAATTTGCTCAAGCAAAAATTTTTAAACAACTCCTATGTGAAGAAAAAGATATCTGTGATTGTTACTGATGATCTGCTTGGGAGAAAAGAACCTGCAAACCTCTAGAAAAAGCTGAGTAGTGCCAATGGGAGCTCCTATTAAACTCTTTCATTAATAACTGTCAGTACTGAATAACTGTACAGAGTTAAGTCACATCATGACTTATGACGAGTTAGTATGTCACTTTCAAGTGGGAAAATGGTATAATGAATTTTTTAAAACCATCCCAGAATTGGAGCTAATGCAGTTTTTCACAAATCATAGATTATAATGCCATCCATATACATATCTTCTTTATGATGAATGTGTAAAGTTTCTATATTAAAATTTCAAATAATTAGGTCAATATGATTTCCACTGATTTTAAAGTCACCTAAAAGCATTTTATTTCATATTTTAGTGAGAAATCTTAATGTACTACTTAACAAGGAAATCACTTTTCTTTTTCTGTGTAGACAATTTTTATTTTATTACATTATGACATGAGGTATGCATTTGTCACCAGAATTTTCCCATTTCAATTTCCTTAGAAACATAATTCAAAAGGTGTGCTTTAATTTATACTTTTTATATTTTGAGAAATACCTACCATGATCTAGTAACATAATTGGGTTTCATTTTCACCTAACACATTCATAATTTTAATTAGTATTTTGGTAAACTGCTTTATAAAAATTTTCCTAATCCTCTTTTCTGACACCTTTAATAATAAAATTGTGATGTTTAGAAGGAATTGGTTGAAACCAAAACACCATTTGTATCCTAATTAAACATAAAAACAAACTTCAGAAAAACACATGACAGAAGGAAATGAAGCATTGCATTTTTGTTAGTCAGTTAGACTTAGAAATAAGTTATAGCAAAATTTCATGCCTATGAGGTGGCTTGCTACCTATTTTCAAAATAAGATTCAAGGGGAAAATATCATTATGTGTCACACTGTTCCCATGGCATGATGGCACCATTTATTCTATATATTTTCTTGTCCAGGAAGAAAAGTTAGAGAATCTTAAAGGATGGTCAATTTTATTTTTACAATTCATTATTGTTAATCAGAAAATTCATGTATTGAAGATGTTAATGATGATGAAAATCTTAACAATAAAATTATCATCGTCATTAAGTAGAGAAGTTTTTCAATGACCAACAGATTTGAAGAAGACAGAAACCTGGATTTCTGGTTTTGCCATTTTCTTTCCTTAATGTTTATTTAGTTTTGAGAGAGAAAGAGACAGAGAGCGAGTAGGAGAAGGGCAGAGAGAGAGGGAGACACAGAGTCGGAAGCAGGCTCCAGACTCTGAGTTTGTCAACACAGAGCTGATATGGGAGTCAAATCCACAAACTGTGAGATCATGACCTGAGCTGAAGTCTGGCACTTAACTGACTGAGCCACCTAGGCCCCTCACCATTTTGTGTCTTAGATGAGACTTTCCATCTTTTTGAGTCTGATTCTTTATTTGATTAAGTTATGGGTTGCATCTAATTATCTCTATCATTAATTTCTGCTCTGCACGTACCTTAAGTTTCTTATGTTTACTGGGAGAGAATCTCCTTTACCTGATCTCTTAGAAAGAAAAATGAAGGGCACCTTGGTGGCTCGGTCGGTTAAATGTCTGACTTTGGCTCAGATCATGATCTCAACTGAGATCATGTGATTTTGAGCCCTAAGTAGGGCTCTGTGCTGGCAGCTCAGAGCCTGGAGCCTGCTTCCGACTCTGTGTCTCCCTCTCTCTCTGCCCCTCCCCGACTCGCACTCCATCTCTTTCTCTCTCTCTCTTAAAAATAAATAAACATTAAAAATAATTTTTTAAAAAAGGAAAATTATGTTAAGGAAAAGGCACAGAATCAGATTTTGTGGCCAGTGGTCCAGTCAGAGAGGAATATAGGGATGCTTATACTCTCTTCTGTTTTATTCAGCTGTAGTTTCTGTAACAGATTTGCACACAGTCACATGCAGTTGGTGTGGAGGAGCCACGGTTTGTGCCGTTGTGGGGATGGGGAGGTTGCCAAACAGGACACAGTCCATGATATTCATGTCCACTCCTAAGAGCCGGGAGAAGGTTTCCCCTTCATGAGGTAGCTTTTGACAGTCCATAAACTTACCTCACAAGTTTATGGTCACCTTGTTTTTTTGAAAGTAAAATAACACCAACACTATGAACATGTTTTGATGTTTTTTACTGCAGATCTGTTTAACTAAAACCAATAAAGGTAAATAGCAATATTTGTGGTTTTCAGAAACAACATGTTTGAACAGACTTTCAGGAGAGAAAAGAATCTTACCTTTGCATTTCATTTCTTTTTGGTTGCAGAACTTCAGATGGTGGCAAAGTTGTTGGCACCATAGAAGTCAGTGTCGTGAAGATGGGGGAGACTGAGGATGGGGAAGCCGACCACATCACGACAGATGTGCAGGGACAAAAGGTAGGGTCTCAGTCAGCTCAAAGCACAAATTAAATTAGAAATGATCAGTTTTGCCAGATGCCTGAATTATCAACATGTCTGTGCAGTATGAAATCTCATTATTTAAAAGCAAAATGAGAAATCAGCTCTGGAATTGGAGTGCCAGAAGCATGTTTCATCCACCAAACCAAAGGGTCCGTTTGCACGGAACTATGCAAAGCCATGCGCCATTCAGAAACTCCTTCTTCTTCGCCCTGGCTCCTGTGTTGACACTGCCTCCTCTTACATCTGGAACAAAAGTATTGATCACTGTTGCATTCTGCCCTAATTAACCCTAAGTGCAATGCACAGAAGATTCTGAGAGGGCTATTGCCAAAAGTAGCCACTTCTCTACTCTCAAAACCCTCTTTAGAAAGAGATGCAGGTTGAATTTAGATTTCATTTTTATGTGAAGGAGAGCAGATATGATAATGTTGTGCCTGATGAAATTGCAGGGAGAGAAGTAGAAATAGCATAACATGGAAGGGGCAGCTTTGGAGGAGGGGCAATGCCAGATGGAGGTGAAGCAGCTTCCTTGAAGCTGAGGATAAAGGTCCCCAGTGCATATCAATAGGTGTCCAGGATTTTTACTTTCTTTTATCTAAGAAAGATAAGTTTAATATAAGAATGCGTTTAAATTCCTGTCTTAGGAATGCAATTGCCTACCTTACTGAGGCACAGTGGATAGACTTACAGACTGAGTTTTTTCAGGAAAGAGTTTGTATATATACTATAATTCCTACCTTTTCGTACGTAAGTGTTTTCTAATGAGAAGACCTTTAGTGACTTACTTTCTGGCTTAGTGTCCCTTATCTAGGAGCAGATTTGATTTTGGGTGCTGAGGAAACATCTACATGGGAAATGGTGTTTATCTAATACAACAGATTCTTAACTTTATAAAAGAAACCCAAGACTGCCCTCAAAAGAATATTATTCTTGCTCTAAAATGAACGTGGGTCTTACCTGCTGCAGTGAGCCTTGTTTGTCTCTGTTCCCCTACTCTCCCTCAAAAAATATCAAAAATCATGAAAATATTCCAAGGAGGCCCAAAGCGTGAATCAATTTGCGTGACGATGAGAGGGCTATCGTGAGTTTTGCAGCAGATCCTCTTAAGATCTGTATATTCAATGGGTCGCCTGGGTGGCTTAGTTGGTTAAGCGTCTGACTTTCGCTTAGGTCATGATCTCGCGGTTCGTGGGTTCGAGCCCCGCGTCGGGCTCTGTGGTGACTGCCAGCTCCGAGCCTGGAGCCTGTTTCAGAGTCTGTGTCTCCCTCTCTCTCTGACCCTCCCCTGCTCACGCTGTCTCTCTCTCTCTCTCCTAGAAATAAATAATAATAATAATAATAATAATAATAATAAAAGATCTGTGTATTCAAAACCCCAGTTGTGGCTCTTAGGATGTGTGTACCTGAGACCCCAATTATGGGACCCCTTCACTCAATCCATGTTTCCTTTGGAGTTCTGTATAAAACTCATATTAGTCACCACCACATGAATGCTTGTATCAAGATTAAGAAGGAAAGATTTGAGGCCAAGCGGGGGACTGAGAACAGAAATAGACAGATAATCCTGCTGGTCCTGTGGAAGTACGTGAGGAGACCAGTAGCAGACACACTTCCCCTTTCAAAGGAGGACTGTTTTGTCTGTTCCAAGTCTATTACTAGCCACCTCTCTAGTTTCCTCAAAGCTTGCCCACCCCCTGACTCTTGTACTGTGTTGCTATAATGAGATAGTACAAATTAAATCATACTCTTCTCATAAACGGAGAACTAGATACCCAGGAATACAACTCCCCAAAGCCCCACATAATGTTTCTGACTTAGTAATGTGAACTTGAAAAGACTTAACTGAACTGTTCTGGAAATAGGAGGTGGCAGTGTCAGCACATACCGTGTACAAATCGTAAGTTAACTAAAACAATAAATGTGCTAATCATTGTTGGCATTAGTTCAGTACTGTCTGGGTTCTTAGTAAACATTGACCATTTGTGAATTTTTAATAAGGTTATTAGAAATACTGCCGGCAGTCCTTTGGAATACTCATGATTCAGCGAAAAACACGTAGTGATGTTCACTAGGCACAACATTCAGAAGAATTACATGGAAATAACTTTATCTCAGGGGTTTACAAAGCATGATCAGAATTTTCTGGGGTGTTTGTTAGAAATGGAAATACAGGGACTCCTTTGCAGATCTGCTAAATCAAAATCTGTATGAGGTGTTTTAACACAATCTACGAATGGTGATGTGAGTCGTGAATGACTAAAACTATGACTAATATGAAAAGATAAATGTGCTAAGTCAAAATCTATATGAAGTGTATTAACGGAATCCACTAATAGTGACTTAAGTCATGAATGACAGAAACATATGAAAAGGCAAAGTAACTGAAATAGAAGTTATCTCTAAAACAACTCCCCCCACCCCTACTTTGCATGAATGGTGGAGAACAAAGTAAAACTAGCAGGACTAGAATTATGTGGGTAAGTGACACAGATGATCTCTCTTGTATATTGAAGTAGATAAAAGATTAACACCTGTTTTATCAGCATGGGCTTCCATAATAAAATACCACAGACTGAAGAGCTTAAAACAACAAAAACTTATTTTGTCACAGTTTTGGAGGTTAGGAAGTCCCAGGTCAATGTGCCAGATGACTTAGTTCTTGGTGGGAACTCTCTCCTTGGCTTACAGACTTCTTACTGTGTCCTTTCCTCGGCACGTGTGCACAGAGACAGCAAGCTCTGGAATCTCTTATAAGGACACCAGCCCTATAGGATTAGAACCCCACCCTTATCATCTTATCTAACTTTAATTACCTCTATAAAGGGCATCTCTAAATATGGTCCCATTGGGTATTGGGGCTCAACGTAATTAATTTTAAGGAACATAATCCAGTTTATAACAATAATCCTGACATAAAATACTACATGTGAATCTTTAATCTCATATAACCTCCAGAGCATGGGATAAAATATAAATGGAAATCCAAACTCTGCTCTTTCCTATTAACTTACTTGTTTCCTCAAATCATATTATTACTCTATAGTTCTCATTAAGCAAAGATTGTTCAGAGAGTCATTCACCATATCACACTGGTTCAAAACTTGTATTTTTTATGTACATGCATAGTAACAGAGGGCAAAGTGTTAGAATCCCATAGCTAGAGAAAGAAAAATTCACAAACAAAATAGTAACAACATTTTACAAAGCTCATATAGTAAGTGAAATATTGCATTAGGCATCCAAATTATTTTTTAATATTTGGAGTTGTCTTTGACTCATTTCTTCCTCTCATACTCAAAACCTGTTAGCAAATTCTGTTGACTCTGACTTTTTTTAAGTTATGTTTTTATATTTACAAGTTTATTGCATTTTTAAGGTTTATTTATTTATTTTTGAGAGAGAAAGAGCAAGAGAGAGAGAGAGAGAGAGCATTAGCAAGGTAGGGGCAGAGAGATAGGGAGAGAGAAAATCCTAAGCAGGCTCCACACTGTCAGCACAGAGCCTGACATGGGCTCGAACTCACAAACCATGAAATCATGACCTGAGCTGAAATTAAGAGTCTGATATTTAACCGACTGAGCTACCCAGGCGCCCTGACTCTGACTTTTAAATAAATCCAGAACCAAATGACTTGTGAGCCCTTCAGTCTTACAACATTGTCTGTCACATACATTTTACAGTAGTCTCTTAAATGTCCCTTCTTCCTCCCTGACACCCCCATCATCATAGTCTACTCTTAGTAGAGCACTTATTAAAATACAGCACAAAACATGTCATTCCTCTAATGACCACTCAACTCCCTGAAAGTGCAAACCTAAATCCTTTTAGTGTATTGGCCTCCCTAACTTTCTTCACCTCATCCTCTACTTCTCTTCCTTGCTCACTTTGATCTAGCCTCATTAGCTTCTTGGCTGTTTATTACACATTCCACGTACATTTCCAACTCAGGTCCTTCATCTTGTTTTTCAGTCTGCCTTTGTAGTTTTTCCCGGGTAACCATGTGCTTCATTCCCTCATTTCCTTCTGGTCTTTGTGCAAAATGTCACCTTCTCATTTTGCCTTCTCTGCCCTGTATCCAGATTTCCAGGCCTCCTATCTCCTTTGTCTACATTATTTTTGTCCCTAGTACGTACCGCTGTCCAATGTCATATATATTTTATTTACATCATTTATTGTCTATTTTTCTCACTAGAATTAAACTTCATGAGAGAAAGGTACAGGGCACAGGGAGCCTGGCACAGGGAAAATGAGTTGAATAAGTAACTGAAGTTAACTTTACCTCGAAGAAATAAAATCCAAAATTGTCTCCTTAGAAGGGATACTATTATATTTGATGTAATGCTGTGTACAAACTGATCAGTCCATAAATAAAGACTGGAGTGAGGATGCAGTAAAGAGTATAGAATTATGAAGGAAAGAAGAATAACGTTTTTAAAAACAACCTTTGAATTAAATAGTCAAGGAAAAATATCCTACCAGGGAAAGGAAAATGAGGAAGCAAAAGAATCAAATCAGGTAATAGATGAGAAAACCCATATAAGTAACAGCCAATAAGATCAAGCGAGACATTTATAGTCCTCCTCTTTGCCCTGCCCCTGAGGGGCCTTGGCTTCTTGCCAGGATAGGATGTTATCAGGCATTCTCCAGTGGGGCTTTGCTGGGTCTGAGTCCTGCCTTGTCTCTCCTTTTTGTTTAATGTCTGTATTATATTTGAATATGTATATAGGCACATATATTGTGCACATTCACATACTAAAAATGATCAAAGTGGTGGTGATTTCTACAACAGGAAAGAAAAGCCTTACTTATTTATGACAGTGACAGAGATGATATCTTTGTACTGCTTACCTTGTCTAACTGATATCTTGATGACCTGCTGCTTTTCTCAGGTTATTTTGCCCCTATATTTTGAAGCAGTGTTTTAATAAGACATTCATTAGCCATGGTCAGGGAAAATGTAGACTGCTTGGATAGCTAAGGGCCATCTTGAAAATTCCCATCCCAAATATAAAATTGAAAATAATATAACTGACTTAACTTACCTTATAAGATATTTGCAGACATAAATAGTCATCATTCATCAAACAATATTACCTTCTATGACATAGGCATTCTACTAAGTTCTGGATATTTAGCAATAAACCAAATAGACACAGATGCTGCCTTCTAGGGAAATGAACAATAACAAAATAAACAAATAATATATTGTTGATCAGATGGTACTATATTCTATTTAAAAAAAAAAAGGTGCAAAGACTAGGGAGTGTGAGCTGTGGCCATTTTATCCTGGACGATCATGGGTAGACTCACTGTTAATATGATATATGACCTGAAACAACCAGGAAATGAGGGAACAAGACGTGGATATCTGAGAGGAAGAAAAATTCTAGGTAGAGCGAACAGCAAGAGCAAAGGCCCTGAGGTGGCAGTGTGCCTGTAGTATTAAAAGACCAGCGAGAAGGCTAGTGTGACTGGAATCAGGGGTTCAAGAGGAAGTGGTAGGAGTGGAGGATGAGGTCCACAGGCAGGGGGCACAGACTGTACACTCCCTTACAGGCCATTAGACTCGAACTAAATGTAACTACAGTTGAGGATTTTTTAATATAGATGTAAAATGATATGATTCATTGTGTTGAGTATGGCCTGAAAAGAAGAAGGACAGAAGAATGGAGGCTGTTTACTGCAAAGATTCAAGATAGAAATGCAGATGAGTTGAATCAGGGTGGTATTGATAGAGAAACTGAAACATGGCCAGACTCCAGGTACAAAGTAAAGCCAAAGAACAGAATTACCAGTTTTAGTGATAAGGAAAAGTGAGAGGACCGGCTGCAGGACGACCAGAGATTTTGAGATGTTAACTTCGAAATTCCTCTTAGACATCCAAGTGTAGATGTATGGAGGCAGTTGGAGGTTTGAATCTGAAATTCATGTGAAATGTCCAAGCCAGAAATATTATTTGTAAGTAATCAGATGGTACTTGGATAGTATTTAAACCATGAGGCTGAATGAGGTCATGAAAGTGTAGCAGTTCACATGTTATACACTCTTAAAATTTGTATTTATGTGGATTTTATCTGTTGATATTTACTGTATTAAGATTTTGCTTACTTATATCTATAGACATTTATTGTATTAGAAATTCAAATGATAAATGTTTAAAACAGAAGAGTCCACAAGCACACATATGATTAGCCGTCAAATGATTATATAATAGGACCTCTGGAAAATTCTACTGTATGCTTATAAGAGAAAGAGAGAAGCAGACAAATAGTGTTTCAGTAGTATAATGAAAATGATTTTGTCTTCACCCTGTGCTAGATGCTGCAGAGGATGCAAAGACAAAGTTATCAAGGACTCCAGGACGCTCCAGAACAAACTTAGGCAACCATGATTTAAGGAATACGCTAACAAATGTGAAAGAGCTTTTGCCAAGGAGTCTTGTCTTTGTGTCCTTCATGATCATTGTCCCTACAATTTGGTTCATTTTCTAGCCCAGTGCATGGCAAATTGGTATGTTAGTTGATACCCAAAATCATAAAGCTCCAAGAATTTTATATATCTAATGTTTCTTCTTCTTCACCAGCAGATGATGCTTTTTAAAGCACTCATCAAAATCACTAGGCTTATGCTGCTATGGTGGTACAAAAAGCATGAGGTGCTTGTTATTCCTGCTCAGAATCACAGATATGAAGTTGTTACACTGAGAGCACCCATAAAGTGTGTAACACTGAAAATATCCATCAGAATGATAGCAACACACAGTATATATAGCTGGAGCCTCCTTAAGCACAGAGTCTATACTATTTTAATCTTTGCAATCTCTGTAGCACCTAGCACAGTGGAAAAACAATTCTAGGGTCAACTATAAAAAATTAAATAAAATAGAATGAATAAGGAATTTGGTTCTTGGCTTCAAAAACTCACAATTTAAATAATGGCACAGACAGTACACTCAAGAAACAATTGAAGAAAATAATTACTGAGTCTGAATATAAAAATGTTTATCAATTTAGTAAATATTTATTGGATATTTCTTGTTATGCTCCAAGGATTTAGATCTTGAGAGCATTCTGAATAGTAAAGATTTTAAATACAATAAAAGTTGCAAAATAAGAATGTTATTAGGTTAAAATTAGCCTAAGTATCTGCCTTCCAGTGTGGATAGAAGATACAGATGTATGAAAGCTATATTTCTGTGTCCATTTGGAACACTGATATAAGGCTTCTGTTAGGAAACAAAAAGTTGATTTTGATTATGAAGAGACAGGGCTCTTTCCATGTAGAGAAACAGTGTCTCAAGTAATAGCCTGATCCCTATGAATTATGGACTTCTTCACTAAAAGGGTTTAATCCAAACCATTCCTATGAATTATATTGTGGATGATAACCCTTTTTTTGAAAAGAGGATGGCTGATAGCTAGTTATTATGTGGAAGGGTATCAGTGACAAATCATGAAAGGATTTGAACATGAGTCTGAGATATTGAATTTGATTGGACGGTAAATAACCATTATACATTTTTGAGCAGAGCACTGGTATGATAAATATAATGTTTATGAAAGATTATTTTAACAGCTCTACATGGGCTGAAAAGAGTAGAAGAAATATTGGAAATAAGAGAAATAAAGAATTCTAAGTATGTTCAAGCATCATTGCACATTGCTCTAGTGATTTGGAAAGTGAATTTTCTAAATAACTATGGATTAAAAGAAAGGATCACATCTGAGTTCTGGTTTGGTCAGGAAAATGATTTAGAGAACAACAAATTTTTAGAGCTGTTTGCAGTTTTTTCATTTCTTTAGTAAACTATACCTCAATAGAAGCACCAAAGAAATTATGAGATCACATTTTTCCCCATCAAGAAATGTCCTAAGTGATGAATATTATGATGGAGGGATAAGTGGTGGGTTATACAAATACAGAAGTAACATTTAAATCAGTCTTTTAAGTTACTTGTCTTTCCTCTCAAAATGCTTGACAGACATATGTTACATCATTAACAGTGACCTCAGTGGCCATGATTCCCCAAGGGGACCAGTACCTGGAGAAGGTAGGGTGTAGGGAAACAGGAAATAGCTCAGGCAATCTTGATACACCATCCTGGGGTCTCTTGAGGCCCTTGGATTCTCTTGAGCAAAGTCTGCTTCCCTAAGAACTCACCAAAGAAGTTTCTGGTTTTTGAGTTTTCCTTTGTTTTTATTTGCATTTATTTGTTTATGTCTGATATACTCGCTCTAAAAATTCACTCTCCCCTTTCCTCAAACTACCACACCCCTTTATTGGCTAGAGATAGAAGGGAACTCATTTGAAGAAACAAATGTTAGTGATGCTGGTGTCAGTCTGTGTGACAATAGGTCTCTTACCAACATCATGGGTCCAGAAGAGTTGCTTCCTCTGTTAATTCCAGTTTCATAGAAAGCTGAAAGGGGTGGGGGGAGGTTCTCGCTTAATGCTACATTGTCTGAGATGTTGTTGCCCACACACGCTTCACTCACTAGGAACATGACTATGTGCTCTTCTTTGTTTCTTCTCTGTCCAGAGCAGTGTTGGCTCTGTAAAAGCTCATGACCTTAACCTACTAATCATAGATTAATAGACTCATGACCTTTGGATCAGCTTATTTACAAATTACTTATTTATAAATCAGAGATCAACTTATTTATAAATTTTCCTCATACCTGATGAACATGTGTTTACATTGTTTTGCCAGAGATGAAAATCTCCTTTTGCCTTATGTCATTTGATGCTTCATCATATTTTTTCTTTTATTTGAAGCTGCCCTTCCTTCAAACCTAGAAAATAATTTGCTTTTTATTGATCCCAAACTATCCCAGGTGAAAGAAATATAAAACCATTCAGCATGTCAAATGTGACTTGCTGTACTAGGAGCATGGGTAAGGGGGAAATCCTTTTCCACTTTTTACTTTCTTTCCTAAGTAATTTTTAACTAGAACCAAGATATAGTCTATAATTTTGTGATTCAATCATTTTATATATACATGTAAATAATCACAAGTTAAACAGGCTTCATAGTCAAGATAAAGCTGAAAATAGTTTTACAAAAGTGTCTTGTTCAAAACTTTTGGAAACCATGTACATAGCCTCATGTTTTGCAAACAACATGGAATCATTTCATTTCTCAATTTCCTAATTTTCAAATATGTTTTGTTTTTTTCTTTTATTCTTTCCTAGTGTGCACTGGTGTGTGAATGTACAGCCCCAGAAAGTGTGAACGGGAAAGATAACTTACCTTTTTTGAATGCAGGTATGTACTGCAGTTTGGGAAACTGACATTCGTTTCATATAAACGTAAATTTTAATTTCCCATGAACTCAATACTGAACGTGGGCAGCATCCTCACAGAATTGTTTGCAAACAGTTAGTAAATGAATTTGTAATCATGAGAAGTAATCCTCATCAGTGGAGGGAGAATACAGTTGACAGTTCCATAAGAAAGATATAAAAATACTGTGGCTGTATGGCAAAACAAATTTCTTTTAGCTTTGGAATTTGTATTATCTGAAGCAAAACACATTAGAAGACAGTAAGCATTAGAAATATGAAGCTCTTATTTAGTTTGACTTTCTAATTATAGAGTTCAAAACAAAGTTGTTAAAACCGTAGATATATGGGTTCAGTAGGAAAAAGTCATATACACATTTGTACATTCCTGGAGTATATATGTATATAACGTGTTACTTGGGGCACCTGGGTGGCTTAGTCGGTTAAGCGTCCGACTTTCGCTTAGGTCATGATCTCGCGATTCGTGGGTTCGAGCCCCGCGTCGGGCTCTGTGCTGACTGCCAGCTCAGAGCCTGGAGCCTATCTCAGAGTCTGTATCTCCCTCTCTCTCTGACCCTCCCCTGCTCATGCTGTCTCTCTCTCTCTCCTAGAAATAAATAAAAATATTAAAAAAAAAAAAATAATAAAAAGTATAACGTGTTACTTATAGTAATATATTTGAATTTCAACAAGGTACTGAACCATGTGTTAAGTGATAACCTTGCAAGTAAAATTGAGACTTACAGTACTAGTTAAATTGTGATAATATGTATAGTAAATTGTGGAAATAATTTTTGTGATAATGTAAATTATGTTACCACTAATAATAGTAAACAATGACTATTATAGTGACAAGCAGCAGGCTAAATGCCTCATATGTCTTGCCTTCTGACCTGTGCTATGAAAAAGACACTGTCATGATCCTCAATTTACAAATGAAGAAATAGGTCAAGGGCACCTACCTGGCAGATATCAGGTCCAGAATTTAAATCTGGCTTTAATCCCCAGGCCTTTGCTCTTAATTAGTAGGCCATGCGATTACCAAAGAGCCATTAAATGACAAGTTGCTGTAACAATAGAATAAGCCTTAATATTTTTCTACCCCTGCCATGTCGTACATTTAAACAATGACATAGATAGCATAATAATCAGCTTAGTGAATGATACCAAATTTCAGAGGCTTCTTAATGTATAACTGCTGAACTATTAGCTGCCTTTCATTGGCAGAAGCCTCTCATAATAGGGATAGAGAAAGGGAAGGCCACCCTTTTGACTATGTTTATACTTACAGAGAACTCAACATGAATTGGAACCGTAGCAAAAGTCATTAATTGTACTTGCATGGAATGAGGGATTGATTATGCCAAAGAAGAGGAGCATCTTCTTATCCTCTGAGCAAATGACATTTTTGTTCCTTTCGCTTAGGATGTAATGTTGAGAGGGATGTGTAATGAGCAGTGGAGGGTCTACCTGGACAGCTAGACCAGCCATGGATGTTAAAAGTACTTCATAAGTTTTCAGGCTGCTTAAAATATCTAATATATCCTCAAAGGGTCCTCCTCACATTTATTTTCCACCTGAAAATTGACCAAACCTTTAATCCTTTATTTTAATGCATCCAGATAACCTATTTAATTTAGTAAATGTCAATTGAGAGAAATAAAATTGAGTGTGGGACATATTAAATACATGTTAAATACAGTTTGAATGAGTCAGGTTATCACCACAATCATCTATATTATAATTATAACTTTTTAATAATTCACACATGTGAACCTTATAGTGTTTTATGCAGAGAGAAAGAAATGCCATTTTCAAATACTGATTGGTTTAATATACATCTCAAAGAGAAAGAGAAACATGGCTTTCTAAGTAAGAAAATATATTGCCTAAGGAAGAAGAGACAGAAGGAACAGAGTGAAAAATAAATCTGTGCCTCCTCATACTTGTGCCATAAAATCTGTAAGGCATGAGTCTTAGAAGCATACTAACTCTTCCAGATGACTAGGATACTATTGCCAATGCATCAATTGTTATATGACAAAGGCAACTGACATGGAACTGATGGAGGCAGCTACTTTCCACAATGTAAATATACTTAGTGGAGTGAAAGATGATTGATTACGGCCTTTCTTCTTTTATGGAGGTGAAAGTTTGGGTGGGGAAACTTCGCTTAGTTCTGATGATGTTTCTTTTTTTTTTTTTAATTTTTAATGTTTATTTAATTATTTTGAGAGAGAAAGAGCTTGAGCAGAGGAGGGGTAGAGAGAAAGGGAAAGAGAGAATCCCAAGTAGGCTCAGTGCTGCCAACACAGAGCCCGATGCAGGGCTTAAACTCACAAACCGTGAGATCACAACCTGAGCTGAAATGAAGAGTTGGACACTTAGCTGACTGAGCCACCCGGGTGCCCCTCTAATGATATTTCTCAATGTCCTTGGTCCACACAACCCAGAGGAATACTCAGAACCTGCAATATTTACCACAAATATTTTCTTTGAGCCTTCTTACATTAGGGAAAGATAAGACTAAATGAGAGTCAAATGTTCTAAAAGCTAGACTTTTAAAAAATGTTTAAAGGCCATTAAATACTCTATATGAAATGTTTCTGCTCAAAATGCAAAAGTGCGTCATGCAGGTATAGAATATGTATGACTTTGGCTTGTGTGTACCTTCGTCTTTTGTTCTATTTATTTTTCTATCTAAACTCACCAACTTTGGTATTAATCTGTTATATTCCCATGTGGTACTTTTTTAATCTGTAGGCAAAGAGAGCTACTGACATTCTTTTCAAGTCTTTGTATTAATGTATTATATGGAATTCTCCAGCCTCCAGTGAATTATGAAATACTTATTGAGTGAATGGAAGAGAATGTCATATCTCATAGCAGCTCTTCACTATTCTATTTATATCTCTAGAGGTTTAATTTATAATTCAGGAGAGTCACTCATCTATTGTAAGACTAACAAGAAAAAAAGCTCTTCTCTCTAGGTTCTCACCTTTTTCATGCTCTGGCTGCCTTGCAAGGTGAATGTATATGTTGGGAGTCTGGGGAATGGAGGGCAGAAGGAGAGAAAGGATGGGGTGGGAGCAGAATTTATAACTCCTTAAGAAAGTTCTAGAAGTACTTTAGCTTAACGGGAGAACACACTCCCTTAAGCTGCTGCATTTACATTCTCTGAAACAAGACACACTAGAAGACACAGTATTAGTAATGTGAAGTTCTTATTTAGTTTGACTAATTATGTAAGTTGTAACATAAATTTGTTAAAACAGTAGATTTATCTCTTTAGTTACTTGCTTTTTCGTTTAAGCAAAACGGTAGTAAGAAAAGCTTAAAACTATTTGTGGTTGGTGGGGGGTGGAGTAGGGAATAGAGAACTGCAGTTGGGTCTCTCACTCGTCCTGCTAAGTTACATCAACTGAGGGACTTATCTGCAGCCGAACAATAACAAACAGGCTCTTGTGGTATTAATATAAGAGCTCTGGACAGGCTGTCAGAAAAACTGGTATCAAAGCCTAGATTTGCCCACCAGCACTGTGACCTGAATAAAGAATAAAGAATAAAGAATAAAGAATAAAGAGGCCAGCCTCTTTGCACATCAGTGCTTTTAAAATGATCACGTTAACCTGGACAGTCTTTGCCTTCGTTGTTTGGCTCTCACATGTTTGAAACTGATGTAGCATAATTCAGCATTTACTGTTTTCCTACTTTTAGAAATATTTCATACATACATTTATTTTAATCAGTTTCATATGGAGGCAGATACTAGTTTTTTGTCATTGTCACAGTTGTCTTTCTTAGAAGCTATTTATATTTCATAAACCTGAGCAAAAATAATACCTTTTTAAAATTCTGTCAGAAAGATAATTCTCCCTAGATTCTCAATTCTCCCAATTCTCCTCGTAAAAGTATAATGCTACCAAGCACTTCAGCTCCTAGACCCTTCTGTTACTATGCCAAACCTGAGGAACTAATGGGCCCTGTTATAAGCTTTCCTATTTTCTTCACATTATGAGTGAGTTTTCCCCTGTCAGCAAGCATTAGATCTGATACAGCATCTTCCTTGGTTGAATTCCATACTTCTTGAGTCATGAAATTATCCCTCATATTCTTCAAAGACCACTTTCATGCTGTAGATTAATGTGTATACTGTCCTTCATATTCATGGACGGGATATCTGACAGCTGTGATTTCCGTGACTGTGTAAGATGGAGTCTAAACAAAAATGAGGGGACCACTCTCCATGTGAAATCCATACAGCCCCCTTCCTATTCAGAGAATGTATTGGTGGTTTGCATTTCTTGCTTCACAGATGAATCACTCTTTTTCTCAAAATAGGCCACTGTATCTTTGATTCTCTTTCTCAAATTGGGGTTAAGCCATGCACCACATTGCAGAAGATGCTAGATCATTTGCTACTTAAGAAGAAAGGAGCATTGCTTATTTATTTCTGTATCTCCAGGGCCAGAACCCAATAGGAACTCAATAAATGCTTGTCAAATGGCTGATAGCCAGTGTATCTTATTATTTCAATTTATGCTTCAGGTAACAGAAAACAACATTGTTACTCTCTCCATGAGAAAGATGTTCAAATTTAATTATTTAGCTTTTAAATAAAATAATTTATCACTTTCCTTAAAAATTACTATGAAATTCTCATTTTAAAAATGTTTTCTGCCTCCAATCCATACTGCATGTGACTCTTGATCTTGGGTTCATGAGTTTGAGACCCACGTTGGATATACAGTTTACTTTTAAAAAAATGTTTTCTGCCTCATATGACACCATAGATTTTATCCGGTTCTCACAATACCACATGAGCCAAATTTTGGGGTAATTTTCTCCTCACTAATACTCTCATCCAAAGCAATGTGTGACTCAGATTATATTAAGATATTGTCAAAAATATGTCCCTCTATACTCATTTTGAGTTCTGATGAATTCCAATCAAAAGGCAAATCCCCTGTTTCCCCCTTTATT